GTGGGCAGGGGGTGGCACTGCGCTGGCTTCCCTAGGCTGCTCTGAGGTCAGACTGGAGCCCGCCTGAGCTGGGGCGCTGCGGGTGCCCGGGGCAGAGGTGGGGGGTGCTGGTACCGGAGTCGGGTGTCCAGTTGTACTGCGGCCAGCCCAGCTGCTCCCCATGCCGCCCGTTCTCAGTGAGGAGCCAGTCCATCAGCGGCTTGAAGTAGCTCATTATGGCCGAGGCCGACATGTTGGGCTGGCCCGTGATCAGCTTCATGGCCTCAGGCCACGGCTTACTGTAGCCCAGCTTCATGGCATCCCTGGGGCAGCACCAGCAAAAGGACACCGAGTCAGAGGACGGGTGAGAGGGCCGCCGCCCCTCCTGCCTCAGCCTAACGCCCTCCGTCCGACAGTGGGGGTAGGAGAGGGATGGCCCGGGCTCAGGAGGCTCCAGTTTCCTCCCGAGAGGGCTCATCCCGACTCATAGTCTCCACCTGGGAGTTCCCAGCCCAAGCACCAGAAAGGCCGGTGTTCCCAGAAGAGCCCATGGGGCTCCTCAAAGCTGAGGGGCCAGAGAGTGGAAAACAGTCACAGCAAGGCCAGGAAAGACTCACGCTAGGCGCTTCCCTGCCTCCTTGGACTGGTAGATGTCACACTGGTGCAGGGGGCCCTTGTGGCCAGCCGCCTGACACAGCGCCTCGTGGAACTGGAACTGGATGATGAAGCTGATGAAGTACCTGCAGGAGAGGGAGGCGTGGCTGGGGGTGAGGAGCCTGTGCTCCAGCCCCCACTGCCCCAGCCTCCCACTGCAGCCAGGGTGTCAGGGCGAACCCACCCTGGCTTTCAGCGTCATCCAGGCCCCCTTCCACGCCTTATACTCGCAAGGCTCTCTCCACACCTCGGGAGGGCCTGGGCTGAGCAGCTCTGGGGCCACTCGTGGGGTGGAGGGTCAGGGCAGAGTCCTTTAAAGGTTTGGCGGGCCACTTGAGAGACAGTGAGGTCTCCATTCCTGGGGTATATGCAAGTAGAGGCCAAGGGTTGCCCAAAAGATCATATCTATCTGGCAGGGCTATCTAGGCAGGGCAGCCAGCCCAGTGATCTCCTTGATCCCAAAGCAGCAGGGAGTCCCTGGTAGAAATGGGCTGGTCAAGGCCGGAGCAACCTCTCAGTCTGCAGGGGTTTTGAGTGTCCCAAACAAGCAGCACAGGCCTCCCACTTTGAATGCTGGGCACAAGCCATGCGCCACTGACTTTCCTGGTGTTTCCTAAAAGTGCTTTGCCAAAGCAGCTGGTCAGAATTAGGAATGAGTCTCCTTTGCCACCCCTGCCTGGAGAATTATCTATGCTAAGCTCGGAAGCTAACCACGTGGGCCTGCTTCTGTGTGAAAGTGAATGCCAGCTTGGAAGCCTGGAAACCAGTGGGGAAGGTGGGTGGAGGCCCCCCTATGGGTCATTCTGGCACACTGTCAAAGTAGGGCCTGTTCCCAGGTGCCCTTGAATCTCCTTGGTCCCCTGCCCATTGCTGCTCTCTGGAACATCTGAGCAGGCTTTCTTTCCCTTCTTGGACCCCGGGGGACACAATTCACCTACTCCATACTTATGTATTAGACCTTGACTATGTGCTGACATCACACTGGGTGGTGGGGTGGAAAGATGGGCACAGTGGGCCCTCTGTCAGTGGACTTCTAGGGACCATAGGAGGCAAGGATTGGATGAAGCCATAGCCCTCCTGGGGCTGCCTTCACTGCGCTCTGCGCCTTGCCTCGTGGGTGCCTGTGCCACCTGCAGCCCAGGGGCACCTGGAACCCCACCTGAGGCCTCCCCAGATCCCTGCCTCCCAGGAGGACTCCAGACTGCAATTACCCATTTAGACTGTAGCGCATAGAAAGTAAAGGGCTGCACCAGACACCTTCACACTGCCCCTGCATGACTTAGGGTGCTAGTGTGTTTACACGTGTGATTTCAGAGAGTAATTTAAGAATGGTGGGTTATGGCCACCATTTCCCAAGCCTGCTCTGTATTAGATAGCATGCTTGGAAGTTAACTCTTGCAACAAGTACACAACCCCTTACCCCTATCAACACAGCCTCCCGATTTAACTGGGTCTCTAATCCTAGTTTTAGTATGTAGATCTTCCAGGCACGACTCAAATTATATCACAGGCAATACGTTCAAAATATAAAATATAAAATAAAGGAATTGCAATTTTTTAAGAAAAGGAAAACAAAACCAGAGTAACAGTGCTCAGGGCATGATCTAGCCATGGGCCATGGTTAATAATGTTAACTACCCGACCAAGGTCTTGAAACCATGAACCAGTTGCAGTAGTGTTTCTGCCTTCCGCTGTCTGCAGGGTAGAAGCTCTTGTCATTATCAAAGAGTAAAACAATGGTCAGCCTGGTTGAGGGTAAGTGGATCAGGCAAATTGTGCAGTGCAGCCGGGTCCCCCGGGTCCCCCTGACCCAACCTGGCAGTGACAGCAGTTTGAACATTGAGTGGGCTCCTCCCTTTCCCTGGTTACCTGATGTAAGGCACATTTGAAGGAATGTGGAACTTGGCCCCTGGGTCAAAGTCGTCTTGAGACCTGGTTACTGGCGGACAGAGGCCCTGGTACTTCAGCCTGTAAAGGTGCAAGACAGGTTGGAGAAAGGGTTTGGGGGAGAATCAAGCCAGGGAGGGTTGGGATTTTTGACTTGCAGGATGGTCCCTGCACCTGGGGCTGCCCTGGGCATTCCAGACTCCAAAGTGCTATGTCTCCATGCACAATAACCCCTACAAACCCCATCACTCACACACAAAGATTCATATGCACATGTACACACACACACACACTTAGATGCTATAAACACAGACACACAGACACCCATGGAGACCCCCCAACCCACAACCCCAAGGGAATGTTCTAGAACCTGAGGCTCCACCACTCCTGGTTGTAGTTCTCCTTGGTGATGCTTCCGTCAAACACCCTCCAGCGCCACTGGTCAATGAGGTAGCTGAAGGGGATAAAGGCGATCTTGTCCAGGGCTATCTTCATTAGAAAGTTGATATCTTGCTCTGCCAAGGGAAGGGGGCTTGAGTCACATCCACGCCTGCCTCTTGCCATGTCCTAGCAGCTTGGCTGTGATGGGTGTGCGATGGGTGGAGAGGGGAGGGGTGAGCTGGACCTGTTTGGCTCCTGCAACCTGCCTCTAGGGGTGGTCTGTGGGTTCCAACCTCCTGGCTTACTCTGCTGGTGGCCCCCTTATTCCCCATTGCTCTGTCCCAACCTCTGCCTGTGGGCCTTTAAGTTCCCTCTCCGCACCTCCCAAGCTCACTGCTCCTTCCTGGTCCCTCTGCCCACCAGGATCTCCGGTTCTTCTCTTACCGTAGCTGTTACCATCGCTACTCAGCAGGTTGATGCTGTGTAGGTGCTTGGGGGTAGATGCCGAGAGGGCCAGCACATCCCCAATGGCTTCGTGAAAGCCAGGGTTGGCACCCTCCCGCAAGGTGATAGGCAAGTGCTTGTACTGCATGAAATACTGTATGTGGCCCATTTCATGGTGGGCCACCACCAGGTCCTCCATGCTCACACTGGTACACTGCTTGATCCTGGGAACACAGGGATAGGGAGAGGGTGTGAAAGGGGACAGTGAGGAGCCCTGAGGCAAAGGCACCTGCTGTCCTTACTGCGTGCAGAGCAGCACCCCCACCACTGCTGTAAGCAGGGAACACAGCACTATGGGAAAGAAAACCAAAAGCAGATATGGAGTGAGCCTGAGAAAGAGGGAATTTGGGGGTTGGAAGCCCCTAGAGTATTGTCATTCAGGACATCCCTTTGCTTCCAACTTTTACGAATAACTCCAGCCCACATGGCCATGTTGCTTCCTGACTTACTCTAGAGGCATTGGGACACTCCTTTATGTTCAGTGTAGGACTTTCTAGAATGTTGTTCCTGTGGTTTCTCATGCATGTGTTTTGGTTCTCCCAAGACTTAGGCTTCCTGAAGGAAACCAGTGTCTGAGCTATTCTGCATCCCATGTGCCCAACACCAGCAAGCATATTCACCCCACAGTTTTTATGGCCACGACTAAAATGACACCTGCAGAGCTATCCAAGCCAGAGGTTCCATTTTTCTCCATCTTTCCTCATTCTCTTTTGTGAGCAATGAAATTCTCCCTTGGACCTAAGCAGAGCATTTCAGGTCAGTTGACTCCATTTTCCTGCCGTTCTCTTAGGAAGGGGAAGAGTTGCCTAGCATCCTGGTTCCAATGAGGCTCAGGTCTGTCCACTTTCTCCTATGGTTCCCATACAAGGGAGGACCCCCAAAAGAGCTCTCAACCTTGATTCTGTCCATGCCCCGCCCTATAGCTGTAGTCCTCATGCCTTTGAAGGAAAGGCCCAAGGCCAGTGGGCCTGTGAAGCCTGTCTGGTTCGTTCCAGGTTCTCGGTGTCCACCTTTCTCATAAGAAACACTTCATCCGCTGTCACAGATCATTTTTGCTACTCTCCCTCCCAAGAGGCGGGGTCTTCTTTCTCTCCTCCTGAATCTAGGTTGGCCTTGCTTTAGCCAATAAAATCTGGCCGAAGTGACTCTGCTCGTTTTGGACTTAACCTTTAAGAGACCTAGCTGTTTCTGCTTTCTCTTTGGGGCATGCCAGCTGCCAGGTAAGAAATCTCACTGTCTGACTGCCATCCTGTGAGGAAGCCCAAACTAGCATGGAGAAACGACCCGCCAGCCCCCAGCTGTCCAGCCATCCCAGTCCAGGGACCCAACGTGTGAGTGAAGACACTAACTCAAGCATTTCTGTGCCAGCATGTGCCACATGGAGAAAAACTGGGGAACTGAACCTTAATAGCTAGAACCAAGGCCACACATAGATGGCCTCATTGAGCCATCCCAGCCATCAGAGCTACTCTAGCTGAGGTCTCCATCATCGCTGAGCAGGGACAAGCCACTTCCATTGTGCCGCCTAACCCATAAAGTCATGAGAGTAATCAAGTTGTTTTATACTGCTAAGCATGGGGTGGTGTGTTATGTAGCAACAGACAACCGAAACATTATCCTCTGATGAAGACAGCTCCTGAGCCTGTGCCAGTGAGGGTGGATCTGTGTAAAGTCGCCATGTCCTCAAGTGTCTCCCTCTGTCAAGGTACATGCGCCCAAGCAGAGGGCTAGCTGTATACAGGGGCCACCCGGGAGTGAGGGAAGGTGGGCAGCTCACACCCACGTCTGGGATCTTGGGCACTGACGACTGACCATGTTGGCAGAGCTGGCTGGCATTTGAAAAGACCATCACCTGGTAGATGAAGTTCCCCTGCCAGAAGCCAAGGGCCGAGTGGAGGCCAGGCCCCATACTATTGACCTTCCATCCTAGCTCTGGGCCCTGCACCTGTTTCTGCTCCCTCTGGCTGAGAGGGGACAGCAGTGGAGCTTTTACTTGGCTCGTCCCCTTGCCCATGGACTCAGGATGAAGTCCCCTGGCTGCAACCCGGACACACCTGAAGTCTTTGCCATTGTAGAAGTCCCAGGCAGAGGCATGGCATACCACATCCCGCCCGTCGGTTGGCTTCTCCAGCATCGATTTGTTCCAGAAGTCCGGGGGCACGGGCAGCAGCCCCAAGGAGATGAAGAAATTGTTCGCCTCCTCAAATATCCTTCTGGGTGTCCAGCCCTGCCAGCAGAGGGAGCTCTGCTCAAACTGGGGGCTGTGGGGACAGACTGTGAGTCCCAGCGGAGGAGGGCACTAGGCAAGGACCAAGCTGGAAGGAAGGAACTGGCTCCAAGGACCCTCTCCCTGCGGGGTGGGCTTCCCCTCCCTGTGCCCTGGGGCCTCTGGAGGAGCAAGGGTGACAGGCGAGGACAGATGCTGACCTGCTTTATCATGGCCTCCGTGGCATCCATCTTGGGGGCTGAAGGGAAGGGAATCACCAAGTCATAGATGTTGGACCAGCTCTGTGCCCACATGTTCCCTGGAGGTGGGCAGAAGAAGGGAAGGTGTAGACAAGAGAGAGAGATGTTACTTCTCAGGCTCAGCGCCATCACGCAGGGAGGGGGAATTAAGTCCCAGTCCTGCCGATCGTGACGTATCTCTTGAGCTTCCACTGTTTATAAATTGTGCTGGGCAACTGACATACAGTCTTCAGTCCACACATCATGCCCACTTTCCTGGCTCATGGGTGAGACCCTTGCTAGCGATCAGAGAATCAAGATGGTCCCTTGAGCAGTGAAGACCAGTGTGACTAGCAGCTGTGTACAAATGCAGAAGCTTTGGGTCCCTGGGAACATCTACGAGCATGTGGCCACCACTTACTGAGAGTCAAGTAACCCGCCCAGGGCCCATGGCTCCTAATCAAAAGGGCTGGGTTTAAAGGCAGGCAGTCAGGCTGTGTCCCCTCCACGTCACCTGAGGTTGGTTTATGTGGTCCCACCTGCCTTCAGGAGAGGTTGATGCCTTTGCACTTAGGACACGAGAGGAGTCCAGTTCTCCAGGACTGGAGAAAAGGAAGGTATTCAGGAGTGGAAAGGTCCAGAAATAGATTTGAAGTAGAGAATCTTTCATAGACAAAAGGGCTTAAGCCTGAGCTGATGTCGGATGGTGTCTAACGTACAAAGTGGTGAGAGTTAGAGTGAGTGAGAAAGAGAGCATGTGAGGGAGCCAGTGCCTGGCCACTCCAATCCCAGGGGCTGAGTTCTAAGCCCAG